TAATATAAACATACTTCTCATAGTGTACAACAAACTCACAAAATAACCTTTTGATCTTCATTAACTCTGTTATACTAATCTTATATTTAAGACAAAGTTTTACAGCATGTACAAATTTTGACCACCCATTTAAATATCTAATAAATATAAAATATATTTATATATTTTTGAAACTATATTTTTTATTTGGAATCATTGTCATAAAAATGACCTTATAGAACATTATAATTACTATGTTCCATAAGGTCATTTTTAAAACAAAGACCCTATTTACAAGCATACCGGTCTGGAAGATTACTCTGTAAGAGTGGAATTGAATATAATGCTATCTAGTTTAGCCAATGTTCTGCCTTAAATGCTGCTGAATATCGCTGAATATTAATAGATGGACGACCAAAACTTAGTAGCATGTTTCTTTTATTTTTCTCCATTGTATTTCCAATTTCTGTCCAAACATTATTAAAAATAACATATTCAGAATCTGAAATTTGATTATCTTTAAAAAAAGAACCTAACCAATGCCGAAGCATTGCTAGAGCAATATTTTCAAATAATCTATGCATAATGTCAACTGGGAACGAATCTGGAAACTTGATTAACTTAAGTTCAAATAAAATATTTCGACCATTAATACCTAAAAAGTTGATAAACTCAAATTAATTCCTTATTTAAAATAGGAACCCGATATTTCTCACACCTTTTTTTTATATTTCTATACCTTAACCCTTGCAAAAACTATTATATTATTACAATATATATATATATATAAGTAGGGTTAAGGTGTAGAAATATAAAAAAAAAGTGTAGAAATATCAGAATCCTTTAAAATATTTGTATAACAGAGAGAGCAGTAGAAATGTCCAAAATTTTTTTATACTTTACCTCTTTTCTGGACTTCACGTTTACATAATGATCTATTTAAATGCTCTATAGTAGCAATATCTTGCAAATAATTTTCATGTGTTTGTAATAATAAGTCCTTAGGATTATATTGGCATCCCAATACACTATGTGGAGGCTTAAGTGGGTAGTATATATGTCAGTTTTCTTTACAGCATACTCCACGAATAAAACAAAACCGACAAGCCTTATAAGAATTATGACCAGTTGTATTCATGACGTTAGCAAGTGCTGAAATATCACCAGACCAACTCAAAATATGTGCGTGAGGAGTAAAAGTTTTTTCTATTAAACCATCAACACACTGAACACTTTCTAAATTTATTATAAAGAAAGCTTGATAAGTAAACTACCATATTATTATTATTTTTAAATAATAGACTACTATTAACAATAAAAAAAGTTTATTAAATGTGGCAGCTTATACTAAGATTGGCTTATACTGAGATTGCTGAAATTTGGGGTCCTCATTTAAATCCCTTAACAGCTACTAAAATCCACATATACTTTTTTTATTATAAATACTAACCCTAATTTCTAACCTAACTATAAAAAAAAGGACTACAAAAAAGGCCCAAAAATTTTTGTAATTTGATAATAAAATAATTAAATTCTCAGCATAAGTCAATCTCAGCATAAGCCGCCACATTAAATAAAATTTGTGATTACTTGTAGTATAGATGACTCTTTCTGGCAAATTTTCAAAAATATTGCCAGAAGGGGTCATCTATACTACAAGTGATCCCAAATTTTATTTAATAAATTTTTTTTATTTTTATATTTATATTAATAATAAACTATAAGATGTATACTAATAACCTTGTAATTGTTTTAGTTCATCTACTAGTGGTCTCAAAAAAGAATTAAAATTTTTGGGTGCTTTTGGTTCTGGGATAAGTGCAGAAATCATTAAGTTTTCATGTTGAACACGTATTTCAGGTAGTAAATTTGTATTTATAAAAAGAATAACCCAGCAGTTATCTCTTTTTTGGCGAAAGATCTGATATCCATCAGTAGATGCTATTAGTGCAATATTTCGATAGTCTGAAAAAGTCTAAAAGAAACTAAGGATTTATATTGAAGACCATCAAAAATATCACCTATTTGGTCGCCAACTATATATTCTTATATTGAAGTATATATATATTGATAATAAAGAGCTTTAGCTCGAATTTTGTCTTTATATTGTTTTTGAAGTGAACTTATAATTGACCAGTAGGCAGCACTTTTTCTAGACATTCTAGATCCTTTGTTAAGCTTATAACAAGGCTCATTACATTCCGGACAATGATTTTTATTAGTAAGCTTATCAGTAAATGCTATATATGAATTAATACAGCAATCTACTAGTTTTGGTTTAAAGAGTACAAGATTTCCGAGAAGCTTTTGAAGTCTATAAAGTGTAACTCCAGAAATCTCTAAAGTTCTAAGAATTTCATTAAATGTTGCCTCTGAAATATTATAATCATTTTTAATTCGAAAAAGTTGTAGGCCTTTAAATAAATTTTCTAAAATAATTTTTAGATTTATATAAGTAGTATTAAAGTAAAGTTATATTTTTTAATAATAAGCTTACCAAAATTTATATATTCACTATCAAATTCCTCATTATTGTCCTCATTACCTTCCTTATTATCATCCTCACTACCTTCCTTACTAGCTTCTCTATTATCTTCCTCATTGCATACCTCATTATACTTCTCATTATACTCCTCATTATACTCCTCATTATACTCCTCATTATACTTCTTATTATACTCTTCATTATACTCTTTATTATACTCCTTATTATAATTTTCACAATCTTTCTCATTATAATCTTCGTAATCTTCCTCATTATATTTACTATTATTACTAAAAGTCTCTTCTTCTTCTATAGTTTCGTGGTATCCTAAGTCATCTGGCTCTTGACTGTTACATGATAATGATATTACTGGGGTGGTGGGTAATGATATTGATCCAACTGCTGAAGAAATAGAAGTGATTAGATGTCGTTGTTGAGCAGATATATGTGTTGAATTAGGCCAAGTTGTTTTTTGTTTTAATGAATATCTTGCTCAGATTGATCTACTAACTAATTTGCTATAATTATCTGATTCTCGAAGACACCAAACACATGTACAAAGAACTTTATCCATTTATATAAGAAATAATTTTATTACAATAAAAAAAAGAAAAAGTTATTTTTTATATTGTATATTGCTATTTATTCAAATAATTATACACTTTGATCACAAAAAAATTAATAATATAAGTATAAATAAAATTTATCTATTGTTTTCTTTTTCTTATATTTTCTATTTTCTTTTGCAAATATTAAAAAAGTGTATAAGTTACTATTTATAATTGGATCCTGTTATAAAAATGCTACAAAACAACTTTTCAATAAATATTCATACTCTCAGTACTGAGCAGCGTCATCAGTTCTTTCTTAAACTATTTGACAAAGATCCAACTTTATCTAATTCACTAAACCATGAACAACATCATCGATTATATTCTGTATTAATTGCAATTGAACCTTCCCTTGCAGATTCACTTCTAGATGCACGTAGTGCTCTACGTGGTGTAATTAATGAACAGGTTATTTACTTTTTTTTTTTTTTTTGTGTATTTTTTTTTGTACTAGTTAATGCATAAATTTTTATAGTTTTCAAAAGGGTCTACAATGAATCCAATTAAACTTAATGAATATGAATATTACAAAGAAGCTCAAAAAAAAAATAAAAAGATGTTTAGTGGCATGAGATTTTAAAACTTGATAAAAAGCAATATTTGACTTTAGGGTAAACTTTTACAGTTATTATTGTTACTACATATTTGATTTTTTATATTATTTTATTATTATTATTATTATTATTATTATAGAATGATTTGCGAAATTGTGCGACTTCTCGGTTCTTACATGGTATATCATTATCTCGCCAACCAAAAGAAAAGACTAAAGAAGTTATAAAAGAAGTAAGGTTTAAATTTTTTAATATTTATAAGGGCAAAGAAAGTTTATATTTTAATTATATATTATAGTTTAATGAAGCAAATTCAATATTTCCATCCTCTAAAGCTGACTTTGTTCTTCGTGATTGGCTTACCTCATATTGTAATAGCATGGGTATGTAATTTATTATAGTTTTGGATAAAATATTGGTTGCATTTGATTTTTTTATTTATAATAGTTGATCAAGAGAAAAAAAGAAAGTTACTGAAGCAAAAATAAAAGGGTATGCACTACCACCAAAAAAAAAGAACGTACAACCTCTTAACAGAAAGCGAAATATAAATTATGCGGATGTTGAAAGAATGCCTAATCATAGTGATACAGATGAGACATATGATAATGCACAAGATTCTTTTTACAACAATATTGAAAGTGTTAATAGCGACAATGGTAATAATAGATTTATGTTAGTTATTATTTAATTTAATATATATATACAGTTATGTTAAATCACACCTGTGGCGCTAGCATCAGTATACTATATATGCTGTGTAATATGAAGATCATTATCAAAAAAATAAACAAAAAATTAAAGAAATAATTTAAAATTTAGCTTATATTAGGGTTAGAGTTATAATTAGAATTGTAAGTAAAGGTTAGTATATAGCAAAATTAAGCAAGGAATTTTTTTTATTAAAACACAAAAGGTGGTTTCATAAGCAAAATTTTGAGTTATTAAAGGTTTTTTAAAAAAAACAACAAAGATTGTTTTGATTTTATGTTACATCTGATCTTGACGTTACATTGCAGATCATTAATTTTATTGGTCAAAATCGATGTGGTGTTAGCACCAATGGTGTGATTTAGTAAAACCGTATATATATATATATATATATATTTTTTTTTTTTTTTAAAGAGCGAGACCTGGTCTCAGTTTTTTATTGATAACATTTTGTATTATTATAATTTAATATCAAGATATTTTTACATATTTTG